TATCATTATCATTATCATCATCATTATCAAAATTGTTATCAGTATCATTATTATTATTATTATTATTATTGTTATTATTATTATTAACATCGTCATCATTATCATTATTATCATTATGCATCAGTGGCTAATAGTATATATGGGAAAATCTCTGCCTGGCATGAAATACCTGACTGCATACCGTCCGTCTGTCTATCTGTCTTTCTGTCTGTCTGTCTGTCTGTCTGTCTGTCTGTCTGTCTGTCTGTCTGTCGGTTTGTTTGTCTGTCTGTCTGTATTCTTAATGAAACTGCACAGTGTAAGTAATGTTCGAGGGATGTGCGAACATTAGAGATGTTGAACTTGTGCGGAGTGTTTCTTCACGTGTAGGATGAATCATGGATGCCCGTATGAGTGGATTGATGGTCATAATCATTTCGTGCTATCTGTCCTCGTGTCTGATATCTAAAAAGAAGAAACTCACAAACCAATTATGAAAAAGTAATACTCCTACGGATATATATATATATATAAAATTAATATTTCTTTTTTAAAAAAATGAAACAACTATCCCCATCTCCAGTATCTCAATTTTTACCATAACAAGCACAATAAGAATTTTATGCATGCATGTGCGGTCTTTTTTAAAATACATTTTATTCTTTTTACGCAAAAATAAAGACAAAATCGCCGCACGTTTGGTGATTGCACAGTAGTATTCCAACCGCTCGTAAGAAGGCCAAATCAAACCTAGGCATAGACAGGCCCATCACCAAGCTGCCCCGGCTGCAGTTCAGGGCGTCTACTAGCCAATGACGTCAGCAGTGATGTACTTCTGGCAGATGAAGCGCTGGTGGTGGTCGCACTCGTCGTCATTCCAATGACCACCGAAGGACTCCAGGTTGAACTCCATGCAGTTCTCGTCACCAGTGGCGGTTGAGTCGGGTTGGCCAGGTGCCCAGTCTGCGAGAAAACCCCCCCCCAGCAACAACCAATGAGGCGCTGATTAAAACAGTGCTTGTCATGAACCTTTATTCAATACATGTCCATTCCACCAATGTTGATGCACTTTCATATTCGCGCGCGAACTAACTTTTGCGTTTCTCTGATTTCGCATTATTTTGCCAAGCCTGGTTTTCTTAGGTTAATTGTATGTGACCATATCTCGGGCGTCTCATAACATAGATGAAATATTAATGTGTCAGATGATACAAAATCTATTCAGCTTTAAACTGGTATGCTACATGAACGGGTAGTGCAAGCCTATATAAAATGATAATTGGGTGATTACATTTTCCAGTTTCTTTTGGACGCCTCTATATAGCCAACGCCCACTTTTGATACCTGGCCCCGCGAGAGGTTACTATTTTCGTACCTTCCACAGGCATGTACAGTCAAAATTTTAATAGTAAATCATAGGGGAGAAAAATGGCCGTCTTATACAGGTAGTCTTTTTACACAATGTCATTGTAATGGTTAGAAGGGGGGGTGGGGTGGATGGAAAGTGGCTGTTTGGACAGGTGGTTGTCTTATACAAGTGGCAATATGAGCAGGTTGGACTATAATATTTCAAAGCGGGGGCCTTAAATAATACACGTACTTGACAAGATTCTAGCAGAGAGTTTACAGTAATAGTAACACTAGAGAGACGGCACTTCGCCCGGATGTGCGTATCTGGGTTACCAGCTGATCGTGGAGAAACGCGCCGTAAACAAAACAAACTGCGTTCATTGTTCAAGGCATTTTCGTTGATCGCAGACAAGCATGGCCCCGGTTATTACTGTAAACCCTCTGTGATTCTAGTGAGCTCCACCACCCACTAACATTACCAAATAAATTGTCAACTAGATCTAGTAGGCTCTATCGCATATGTAAGAAACACTGGGTTGAAAACTACCTAGCGAAGTGAAGTGTAACCCCCCCTCTCCCCCCAACTTACTAACACGCCCATCTCCCGATGCTTAATGATCAAGAAGATATACCACATGCTCACTGTTTCCTGTTGCGGCAAGATATAGCTGCAACCCAACCGTGACCTCCCCCCCC